TTATTTATTCATCAAATATTTAATTTTGTTATTGAAGTCGTTTTGACAAAAACGAGTAAATAGATAATTTGACAAACACCTCATGTCGTGAGGAAAGAGCCTGAAAGATGTGAAGTACATGCCCACAAAACTGTACATGACATGACATGACATGACATGATGTCACAGTCTCTCACACTCTACCATTTACCAGGTGACCTCAGTAAGTCCTGAGGGTTCAGGGTTTGAGGTCTTAAGGGGGGCACTGGGATCAGGACTTTCCACTTTTAAAAGCCGTTCGTCTCTTTGTGTGCTGCAGCTCTTCCTCCTCCCTCTGTGATCGCTGACAGCATCACCGGCGACTCCATGAGCCTCTCGTTCAGCTTCAACTCTCAGTACGAGGTGAGAGCTTCTCTGTTTAGAATCAAACCCGCCTTCGGTTCGCTGGTCCCGTCTGTCGGTGTGACCGATGAGCTCCTCTCTGCTCCTCTCAGGTGAAGCAGTACGTAGTGATTCTGTCCTGGCAGTTTGACTCCCACGTCAAGGAGAGCAGGAACTACACGGTCACAGAGCGGATCCTCAAAGCGACCAACCTGACGGCGGGCACGGTGTACGAGGTGGCCGTGTGGGCTCACGCCACCATCGGAGACAGTCCCACCGCGCTGTCCCACCATCAGACCGCCGGAGCCCAGCCGGAGCGGCCCTTCCTCAAAACCCGGGCCCTCAACCAGACAGCCGTGGACTGCAGCTGGACCGTCAACAACACCCTCGCTCAGGTACACAGCCTTTAGCTCCTCCCCCCCAAATGAATCTTTGATATATTTTATAAAGGACAACTCGCTCACCAGAGAACCCTCTACTGATCCTCCTCACTGGCTGTGTGTGTGTGTGTGTGTGTGTGTGTGTGTGTGTGTGTGGTGCAGCTGTACGGTGTGTTTTACGCCACCTCCTTCCTGGATCTGTACCGGAGCCCCCGTCAGGTCAGCACCACGTCTCTCAGCCTCACGGTCACAGTGGACAGTGACGAGCAGTACCTCTTCCTGGTGAGTCTCTTTCTCAACGTCCTGTGAACTTCCTCTGAAGCTCTTTGCAGAAACCTCTTCACTCCACTTCAATACCCCGACGCCGCCAGGTGTCCTGATCCTGCTGACACCGAAGAGAGAAGCTCAACTCACACGTTACTTCAGAGGAGATGTGGAACGTCTTTCTCTGTGTAACTTAAAGTCACAGTGAGACTGATTGTTGACAGTCTGGGACCTGGTCCTCGTGTTTTATAGATCCACCTTCTTTTAATGTTTAAAGAGAAGAGAGGATATAAAGGCAAAGGGCAGACACAACCAAACACTTGATTATTCTATGTATATTTATTGTGGAAACCCTTTAACAAGGATCTAAAATAGTCAAATGTAGCATTCACAAACATGTATGAACTTTTAGCGACACACAACCCATTGAGTTAGTTTCTATGTGAGCTTGATTGACATGGTGGGTTAGATACCTGGACCATGATAACACATGTAATCCACCATGACTGTGATCCTCCAGGTGCGAGCCGTGTCCCCGTTCCTGGGCCCCCCCTCTGAGTACTCCGTGGTGAAGATGATCCCCAACGAGAGGCTGCCGCCCAGGAACCTCCATCGCGTACGGGTCGACAAGACGCAGGCCACGCTGAAGTGGCAGCCGCCCTACGACGCCCCCAACTCACCGCTGGTACGTACGGAACCGTCTCAGAGTATCGCTGAGGTCCAGAGTTAACGGTTCTGCTATCGGTACGTTAGACGTCTGCTCTGACTGACGGAGAGGCGTCTTCTCATCCGTGTGTTTTTGTGCTCGTGTCTTCCTGCAGACGTACGCGATCCACGTGCGCGACGTGATCCGTAAAGAGGAGTGGGACTACAAGCTGACCACCAGGAACAACACGGTGGAGTACCAGCTGAAGGGCCTGGAGCCCGGGGGACGCTACAGCGTCTCTGTCCGCCTGCGCAACATGAGCAAGGAGGCCGGCTTCACCCTCAGCACAGGTACGCCGGTTCACCTGTTTAGTTATCAACCTGTGTGTCCTCTCGCTGCACACATACGAGCCACATGAAGGGGTTATATATATGTGCACGTGACGGCTTCATACGTGGTGTCAAACTAAAAGACTGAGGCTGAAGCTGTGTGTTACAAAAAGTCTGCATCCTCCTCAGTGAACGATCCATGTGGAGCAAATATTAAAGGAGCAGCATTGTCCTCTCAGGGCTTCCGTACCGACAGGATTATGGTTATTTTGCGATCTGTATGTCCAACTGATTATATGTATCTTTAACTGTTAAGCCTCATGCTGAAGCATTACCTGTCCCCTTCCTACGAGCTCCACGTCTCGTCTTCACCTTCTCAAAGGAACATTATCTCCCTCTCTGATGCAGTTCCTCTTCAGGCTCCAGAGGCCTTGAAGATTTTGACGGAGAAAGACCACGTGTTCCTCTTGTGGAAGAGTCTGGCAGTCAGAGAGAAGGGCTTCAACGAGAGCAGGGTGAGACAGGAAACCTCTATGTTCACTGAACATTCCTACAGCCCTCTTTGCATAGAGGGTTGGACTACTGCATCTACCACTGTACAATACTAATACTTTGTATACTTCTGGTGAATAATGATCTTCTAACTCATTGAATATCGTCTAAAACTAGTTCTGTGCTCCTAACATCCTCCATCACCCCGTGTTTGCTGCTCACAGGGTTATGAGGTGCACGTGTACGACAGCGTGACCAACCAGACGTCCTACCTGGGAAACACCACGGAGACGTATTTCCGCATCAGCAGCCTGCTGCTGGGACACAACTACACCTTCTCGGTGCAGGCGCGCTGCCTGCTCAACAGCCAGCTGTGTGGGGATCCGGCGCTGCTGCTCTACAACCAGCTGTCAGCAGGTAGTGGAACACACGCACACATGATTTAAAAAGGACGAAATAGTGCCAATAGTCATACACATTTACCTTACTTCCTCGTGTCCAGGGGCCAGAGGCGAGGGCCACACGGGGGACGTGGCGGCGGTGGTGGTCCCGGTCCTTTTCCTGCTGCTGCTGGGGGTGTGCGGCGGACTGGTGGCGCTCTACTTGCGACACCGCCGGCTGCAGAACAACTTCACCGCCTTCGCCAACTCCCATTACAACTCACGCCTGGGCTCCGCCATTTTCTCCTCCGGGGATGAACTGGGTGAGACATTTTAAGATGTGTTTTTTTGATCATTTGGGTTCAGAACCTGGTTGTGGTACTTGACTGGACTCTTCAAGAGGATAATAATGTACTTTAGTAGGTTGAGTAAGTTAGCTGTTAGCGCCATTAGTAATAACATTTCCTTAAACGTTCCTCTCTCCTCCTCCTCCTTCCCTCTCAAGGTGATGATGATGAAGATGCTCCGATGATCAGCGGCTTCTCAGACGACGTTCCCATGGTCATCGCGTAGGGAGAGGTCCCCCCTCCTCCATTTCCTGTTTCTCTCTTCTCACCATCCCCCCCACCACCCCCCCAACTCCCCATCATCGGGTGCGGTACGACGGAGCGAAGAAGAAACCGGCGGAAACTTCGCCGCCCCCC